TTTGCAAAATTCTTTTATAATCTTTTTTCATTTTTCCATCGACTTTTACGAGATCACCTATTTTTGATCCGGCAAAACACCCCCACACCATCACCAAACCTCCACCGTGTTTTACAGTTGGCACAATACAGTCATTGGAAAATCGTTCACCTGGTCTTCTTCTCACAAACACCTTTCTTTTTGATGCAAAAATTTCAAATTTGGATTCATCTGACCATAGAACTTTTTTGAAGTCATTTATTGACCAATTTTTATGCTCTTTTGTCCACTTAAGTCTTTTCATTTTATTTATCGGCCTCAAGAATGGCTTTTTCACAGCACTTCGACCATGTAAATTTGCTGTTATCAGTCTTCTTCGAACCTACCGGATTTCTCAAAGATTTATTTACTTCCGCAGTAATGTCTGCTACTGTTAATCTTCTATTGCGTAAACTAGTATTTACAATGAATTTATCTTCTGCCAGAGATGTCTTCTTTCGAGTTTTACCTCGTCTATTTTTTACACTATTTGTTTCACAAAATTTTTTAACATTATAATCAACTGTACACCGACTAATTTTTAACGATTTAGCAATTGCGTTATTACTCATATTTTCTTTATAAAAAGCGATAATTCGATGACGAGTAAACTCCGATAAGTTTTTCTTTTTTGCCATAATGTTCTCTGTATAATCGGTGACTATTTAGATCGATGGCTAAATATGTACACACTAAAACCAAAAATTGTATGCGCCAGTAAATAATTGGTGACAGAGGAATGGATAAACATTGTAGCAGACTAGCATATACATAGGTAAGAATAAAAAGACAAGTTTGAAGCGTTGAAGAAGAATTATTTGTAAACAAAAATGGTGAACACACTATCACTATGTACGTACACTTTGCATTAATACTACAATTTAATCTACTTTTATATAACTCTGACATAATATTGCATATGTTATTTATTCTCTAATAACAATTTTGTTTATGTATTTCTAATAATTGAATAATCAATTGTTTATTTATATAATAATTAATATTTTCTGTTAAATATAATTTGAAAAAATAATAAAAATAAAAAAGAATTTATTTATACTACTCATTTTGTGATTTACTACGTCCCTAGACATTTTAAAACTAAGCGTAAAAAAAAAGTTAAATTACTTTATTTTTTTAATGCGCTAAAAAACCGAAAAAAAATTTTTCTCTATTTCTTTATTTTAACTTTATTTTCGTATTCTTGGACACAAAATGAAACTTTTTTCTCTTTGGCATTTTTTTTCCAAAATGTACGTAAGTCGAAGTAATTGAGGATTGGAAAAAAAGGTTGCTTTTTACAAAAAACGCCGTAACTCGGTTAAAAAACATCGGATAGAACCCCGCGGGAGCTCATTTTAAAGGGAAAGACATTACCCTCCGAACCCCTCAGGTCGATTTGCCCTTCACCGCCTGGTTCTAAATTGGCATTGATTTAAGTCGAGGTTAAAAAAATTGAAATTTTTTTAATCAGTTTTTTACTGTAAAAAACACATATTTTCATTTTTAAGTCTCTGCACGTCTTAAATGGAAGCTTTTGCAATTACCTTTAAAATGCCCTGCGGTTTTTTTGTGATACGATGATTTCCGACCGAGATACAAAACTTTCAAGTTTGCCTAATTTTGAGGTAAGCATGGCAAAAGTGATTGACGGGCAGTGTATATAATTAAAAAATAATAGAAAATTTCTTTAGAATTTCGCAAAATTTTGACTAAACGAAGCTTATTCAATGCTGAAGTGTTTGATATTTAAAAAAACATAGGTAGCAGTCCTTTTCCAAAAGTTATTAACAAAGCTATCATTAAAAATTGGCGTCGTGGCGAAACGTCATATTACTAAATAACTTATATAATTTTTTCTAGTTAATATGAAGACTTCATATTTAAGATGTGCTTACTTGGAGTTTTGAAAAGCAATGTAATAATAAAAAAATTGAAATTTCAAAAATTCTTAACAGACTTTCGTCGATTGATATTTCGCAGCTTTCTAGATTATAATTTTTTATAAACAAACAAATGAAATTAGCGAAAATTGTGTAAAACCGTAAAAAACTAAGTACTAAGAGGAATATTTCCAATTTGTTTCATTTCAATATATAAATATCTTTCGTGATAATAACAGAATGAACTCAAGAAGTGCTTTTCTATTTGCTGAACCGCTATGGGAATAACTACGAGTGAGAGACTATCCTTAACAGAATATGTTTATCAGAATTTATTTAGTTAAAATTCTGTAAAGAGTGACTCCAAAAATAGCCTGAAATTCGTCTGTTTTGACGAACTCACAATTTGTTCCAATTTATGTTGGAGCTTATTATACATGATTAGAACATGATATTTACAAAGTTTGAAGTTGAGTTCAACTCTAGTTTTGTAGTTATAAGCTATACAATGAATCGTACTTAAAACTATAATAAATACTAATCTACTTCTGAATTTACACTATACTCCAATGATTATATATTTTAAAATATATTAAAATTAAATATATTACAGAAGAAAAAAGTTAGTAACACCGATAAAATGTTTAAATTGTTAAGATTTAAGTTTTCTTTAGTGACAGTAATTTTCTTCATAGAGTTTTTTTCCTTTGTCGCCTGAAATCTTTAACTGTCAATAGGAAATTGACATGGTTATCGCCTTATTTTCAATTTTACATAATGATCTGACCTCGAGTTCGTGATAAACTACCACAAAAACCCCAAATGTAGCACACTTAGCATTAATTTGTTGATTTGAAAATAGCGTTGTCCGTCTTAAATCAGACATTTCAAATTATGAAAATCTAACTTCCGATTCGTAATAAATTGTTCAAAAGGGCTAAAAAACCACTCTGATTTTAATTATAGGTCAACAAAAAAAGTGTATCTCAAAGATTTCAACTCCATGTGTAAGATATGCAAAAATACGACGCATTGTATAGCTTATAACTCCAAAACTAGAGTTGAACTCAACTTTAAACTTTGCAAAGAATTTGTTCTAATAATATACAATTAGTTCCAACAGAAATTGGAATGAATTACAAGTTCGCCAAAACAGGCGATTTTTGAAGTCACTCTTAAATTTAGTTAAAATTTAATTTATACCTGTTATATAAAATAAAAAATTAATTTACCTCGTCTGTAGATAATAAGTTTTTCTTCGTAAGTAACATTTTCTTCAGAGGTGCAGATGAAATTCTGAAAAATAACGACAAAGAATCAAGTTCTTTACTACCAAGTTAGTAAAAGACATGAAATTTACAATACTCATCTGAAATTTTTAACATTTTGGTCGTTCGCATGAAGAAGCGCCTGTAGCAGAGGATAAATTTGTCGGATGCCAAGTATATTTTCGAAATAATATTATCAGTCATCGTATCTGCAAAAAAATGTAAATATATATTATAGGTAAAAGTGGCAGTTTGGAAAGATTTTCATTTTCATAGATAGGACTTTCTATAACATAGTTAGGTGTGGGACGACTTCAATATTAGTGCAAAGTAGATGGCTTTGCCAACTATGGCTTAATAAGCGATCTATGGTGACTTGTGTTTGTTGATGGCAATTTAGGAAGATTTAAATTTTTAGCACTGTACGGTAATTTTAGAAGATTTCAATATTGTTATTGATTAAATACTGTTTATCATTGAGGATCTGGTCATATATGTGCATAGACAGGGTGTCCCATTTTAAATGATAAATCTGAAAATCTCAAAAAGTTGAGACCGTATAAAAAAATTGTCTAGATGAAAGTTGTTCAGGATAGTGGTGGTCATCTACTTCTCATGTCAGTGTTAATTTTGAACTTCATTTTCAAGATTATTCGGAGGTTAACTTTATTTTTTTGAATGAGACACCCTATTTTTGATCCCGGATTCAGAAAGAGCTGGAAATTCTACCCAATTTTTCATTTAGGCGTCATATGTGTGGTCTATTTCGTCCTGTTCATCAATGAAGGCCCGAGGACGTACATTTTTTAATTTAATCCTCTATTTTATAAAATGAAGCTATGATTTCTATATGTAATTAAAACTTGATCAATTTGGAAAATAAGTTAAAATTTAATGAATTTTTCGTTTATAAAAATCTAATTACGCAAAATTCATAACTATTTTAGCTATTCTTGCTAATCATGTGTAAATTTTTATAATTTTTTAGAACATTTTTTCTTCAGGTCCCTTAACCACCCAAATTTATCAACATATGCACATGGAGATTACTATGCTCAGGGTTCGGCATCGATCGTTTGTATCAAATAAAGGGCTTTTTGGAGCTGACTTCAGTTTGTAGACTCGAAGAACTCTTTCCGATTCATGGAGACTATATAAGGCCCTCGCCACATATGCGCATACACGTGCGTATAACGGCGTACAAACGCATACAAATAGCTAAAAATTTTGATAGTGCCAACAACAGAAAGTTACTACTATTCCTCGCTTGTCCCAAACGAACACACACTCCCGGAACAAACGTATCATAACGCTATATTATTGAAGGTGATGATACGCTTATTCCGGGAGTAAATGTGTTCGTTTGGGACAAGCGAGGAATAGTAGTAACTTTCTGTTGTTGGCACTATCAAAATTTTTAGCTATTTGTATGCGTTTGTACGCACGCGTATGCGCATATGTGGCGAGGGCTTCAAGGAGACGGAACCCTCCTATCCCCTCCGTACGTATCTCCGAAGGAGCCTACTATCTGCCGCGCCTCTCGCGGCGGTTATCCGTAAACTCAAGTTACTGTTACTCAAGTTACTGTTACTCAAGTTACTGTTACTCAAGTTAATATTTTCTATCCTCTTTTGTAGCCACGGGCTTTTATCTCGCATAGAATGAATTTTTCGGAAACATTAACTTGAATAACGGTTACTTGAGTTTACGGGTAACCGCCGCGAGAAACACAAAACTTATACTAGCTGCTACATCTCCTATATACAGTCTCCATATTTCAAAACTGTTTATATAAATGAAATATTTTTAATAGTTGAATTAGCATACAAATATGAAAATGCAAGCACAAACCTTGTGTAACCTAGATGATTTAGCTAAATTATTGATTGTTGATAAATTCATTGATAATGTTCGAAAAATTAATAGAGAACTATCTTCAGAATTTTCTCTTAAGTTAAAATCGAAAAACCTAGAAAATTTATACGTAAAATACATACAAACTGGCCATATTGAAAAAACATTATCTCAATTAGAAACAATTGCTACAGAGCTGAATGATTTTTATATTTGGAACATCCCTTATAAATTTTGGCTGAGAAATTATTTCAAGTTATATTTGAAATTTTTCCACCCTGAATCAACAGTCAAATTAGAAACTTGCCTGAGATATTCAAAAGAAAACTTTAAAGGTGTAAAAGTGACAGCTGCTAAGAATATTGAAGCTAATGCTGTACTAAAAAATGTTTTTGGCTACTACAAACGCATTAGTATTGCAAAGAAAAAATTATTAACGGCACAAAAATTGGACTTTTCACTTTTGACAAATTCTAGAACGAATGATGAAAACATCTTTTCAGGATCAATAGCATTTGTAAATCACGATTGTCATCCTAATGTTGAATACATTACAGCAGAAAAGCATTTAGTTTATTTGAAAAGCCTGACAGATATAAAAGAAGGTGAGGAAATTCTAGTTTATTATGGAGATAATTACTTCGAAGAGAACAATAAAAATTGTGAATGTGTAACCTGTAATTTAAAAGGTTTGGAATCTATTATTAAATTCTGTGTGTATATATACTTTTATGTTATATCTATGAAAAGTAATTTGTGAATTTTTTAGATGTATTAAAAAATAATGAAACATCTAATATAAATTTGGAAGTAAGTAACATGGAAAGAATAACAAATAACTGTGGTACGTATTTTTTTATTTTAGTTTTAATTTTTCAATGATAAATTTCAAACAGAAATAGAGATATTATAAGAAGGATATTTTGTTTACACTATAAATTTTCTATTGAAATCAAATAAAATGTTATTGCTATTATATATGCTGTATGCTATTGACATCATATTTGAAAATGCTTTTTCTATCATTGTTGTCTTGTTTTTTTTAAAGTTTTGTTTAATTTTGTAACGAGCGGGCTCGTTAAGAAGTGGATGAGCGATTTCGAAATAGCGCGTCATGCGCAAAAGACCCGCGCAGCGAGAGAGAGAGAGAGAGATATAGCGAGAACACGCGGGCAAAGGGAGTACACGTGAGACCGGCAAGGAGAACGTACGTGAAAAAGAGCCTTTGTTTTGTTTTTGTGATATCCGAGCGTGGAATCAATCCCGGAGAGGAAAAGTCGAGCAACCGTGAGGAGTGAGTGCTGGGGGTGTGAAAAAGATAGAGTAACGACCAAGAAGTAAGGGCGACCGATTGAAAGCTGTCGCACGAGCCGAGGGGCCCGACGCGTCGCTCATCACCCATCAGAACCAGCCGGCAAGGCACCCATCCTCGACGACTCTGGGCGACGACAGTCGAATAACCGGGCTCGAGAACCAAGGCGAAGCTGTCTGCAGCAGTGTTCGCCCGCGTAAGTCTCCTCTTTTGTTTTCGAGATTGCGAGCGAGAATTCCGGGAAGCGAGCACATGTGAACAGCGCCGGCTGCGTGGAGTTCAGATTTGTATTTTCCGTCTCTCTCTCTCTCTCTCACGTGTACGTACGATTAGGTTGCGTGTCGTGAATCTCTCAGCCAACGTGAATAGTCGCGCCTATGTAGTTATAAGGAGTAAATAAACCCGGCAGAAACATATTAATCAGCCGGCATATTTATTCGACCATCCCGAACATTCTCTACGTTTCCTTTTCCTTCGTACCGCTTTCTAAGAACCCTCGACCATTGCTTTCCTTTATTATTTCGTGCTTTCGCGCCCGTTTCCAGGCTGCGCGACCAGCACAGAGCTAGTCAGAAGAAGAGGAAAATAACGAACGATGGTAGTACATAAATCTTGTTAACGGATGACGATTTATCACACATAATAAATCAACAACCGTTACAGTGGCGCCCAACTTACACGAAAACATAGCGTAGGAAAAATAAAGAACCCCGACAAAAGAATGAATAGGGCGCGCACGAAGAAAATTCCGAGAGAGAGAGACTCGCGCTAAATTAAAAATAAAAGTGTGTGTGTAAAAGCAAACACCACGGAGTTTCAGAGCGGTAAGATTTGTCGAACGTACTCTGGCCACGAAATAAACATATTATATAATCAGACCATTGTAAGGCCGAGAGAATTTACTAACAAAATCAAAATTTCGAGGCCAGAGAGGTAGACAGTGAGCACGGTAAAGTGAGCGCGCAAGCCTGAAGTACGGCAGCGCGCTCAAGAAACTCCGCCGCCGTGACGTCATAAGCCGCGAAGAGAGAGAGCAAAACACAGCGGCAACAGGCTAGCCGCACAGTATAAAGCAGTGAATACTACCTATCCAAACATATTCATATTCAATATTTAATATTAATTATTATTTATTATTTAATTAATAAAATTTAATAATATTAAAATTAATTATTTAATATTTAATTCTTTTCTCTTTTCAAAATAAACTAAATCAAGTTAAGCACGCTCTCTCGACAAAAATATCACGGTGCGAAAAAATCGTTTGCTTCAATAAAATTTTCTTTTCAAAATATTCAAATTTTTTTAAAAATTATTGATAGAAAAGTTAAAAATAGAAAAATAAAGAAAATAGAAAACTGCTCACTGTACGACGACAAATTTATACAAATAATTACGCCGATAAAAACTAACAAATTTTCACCTACAAACAGTAAGTGAAAATTAATAGGTAGGAAAATTGTAAAATCAGCGTAGAAAAAGCAAATTAAGAAACTTCGCGGTGAATACCACAGTAAAAATTAAAATTTAATTACCCTAACGGATTATAATTTTTTTGATTGTGGATAAATTTTTTTTTCTGATATTTCTTTAAGTGGTATAAAAAATTATAAAAATATAAAAAATTATAAAAATTACAAAAATTATAAAAAGTACACACACACAAAACAAACATCACTGGATCTAACTCAGCGTACATATCCAGTGATAATAATAAATAGAAATATGTCAAACATGAAAGACATGGATGACACAGAAGCAGAAATAGAGGAGTGGATAAATAACCTAGATAATGATCGACTAAATCAAACTCTAGCAACTTTAGAACTAAGAAGCGACGGTGAAAAAATAGCCAAGGCAAAGAGACTCCTGCGTTGATTAATGGGCGACTATACATCGGCTGATTTCGACGAAACGACAGCCCAAGTAATCGCCCAGGACCCTATTCGAAGAAACGAATTCAGATACGCTTACATCTCCAAGAAATGCAAAGCACTGGAAGACACAGGAGCAACCGATCGCGAGATCCACTTCCTATATAGGCTACTTACGGACGATGAGATAGCAATCAAGCTCAATCTAACAGTGAGCCAATCTTTGTCAAAAGGAGCAGAAAGGATCTCAAAAAGCGACGGACCCGAAGAAGACCAAGCTTCAATAACGTCAGATACTGAGATGCCCACGATATATAATGAAAGGGGCAACCCCGTGGCAATCCCTGCAGAGATCAAGGAAGTAATGAACGAATGGATACATCGACTGAAAAGAGTCGAAAAGGCAATGGAAAGAGAGCGCCAGTACATGTTATCGATAGCACAGATGGCACAAACTATATGCGCTACCCAGGCCACGGAAACATCCAGGATGACTAAAGCTCTGCAGAGGATAGGCAACTTAGAAAACGAGATATACTTGCTCCATGAAGACCAGCCATCGTCGCCAAACAAAGAAACAGAACAGCTGCCCGGTAGAACAGTGAACTTTCAAGACACGGTGACACTGCACTATGACACCGTGATCCCTGGAAGCACGCCAAAGAGACTACCACCAACAGAACAACCACGATGGAACCCCAGAATAGCGGGAGACCCCCCAGTACAGCCCTCGGGGGGAGTGGACAGCAGAATACGGCGAATAACTCTGCTGAAGGTGGTTTCACGAGGCACATAGGCAGCTACGCGCAGAACACGACGACAGGCCTGTCAACCACACGAGACGTGGGGAGGATCGTGAGAGGCTGGCGAGTCAAGTTCTCTGATGGAGACGACCAGAGTGTAGACGTCTTCCTGGAAAAGCTGGAAGCCCAAAAATTGGCAGCCGGTCTCTCAGAGGAAGAGATGCTCCTCGGGCTACCCGACGTACTTACCGGGGTAGCCCACACCTGGTACCTAAACAACAACAAGGATTGGATAGACTACCAAGACTTTGTTTCGGATGCGAGAGAATGGTTCGGCACCAGTATCCAACAGCAGCAGAGACTCAAAAGAGAGGCTCAATCGAGATACCAGGGAGATAATGAGCCAGCTAAGGTCTACCTCACGAAGCTACAGGCAATGGTGAGTAAACTACATCCACCAATGCCACCGGCAGAGATACTCGAGCTGATGTACTCCAACCTACTTCCAGAGATAAAGATCCACGTGAAGAGGAGAGACGCAGTATCTGTTAGGGAGCTATGCCGGTTAGTGACGGAAGCGCAGAACGACATTACCTTCGCCCGCCAGAAATGGACGCTATTGGAACCTAAGGCTTCCTTCTTCCCAGAGTGGGCGTATCAACCCACAGGCGGAGAAGTAGCAGGATGTAACCGTCGGCCGAAGGTAGCGGGCATGTCGAGTGAGAAAGAGGATGAGGAGGGAAAGAAAGAACCAACGGTACCGGAGATAGCGGGCCTGATGGAGCACACCTTCCCATCCGCAATGATGCAGGGGCTGGAGAGCCTAATCTCGAAAGTGATAGATCGGAGAGGTCTACGCGCGGTTCCGCCTGCTGAGAAACCGAAAACTTCCGAGAAAAGTGGAAGCCCAAAGATGAAGTCAAAGGGATCTCGACGAGAGATCGACTTCTCTAAACCACTCACATGTATAAGATGTGGCAAGTTAGGCTTCAGCATCAAGCACTGCCCCGACTTTAAGGAGAGCCCAAAGTCGGAAAACGAGGCACGAGACGGTTAGAGGGGGTCCCTACCGTTCCAAAAACAAAGAGGATCCCTCACTCCGATAGTCAGCGGGAAGGTGAGATTCCGCGGACAAACCAGGCAGCTACCCCTGATGAGGCGGTGGCGAAAGTATTGGGAGTGAGAGGTGAACGTTCGACCGAGATCAACACGCAAGAAACAAGCGAGGATAGCGAATCCAAGTCGATAAATCGACCATCTAAGGGTATGGAGGTATCGAGTTCCACAGAGAAGGACTTCGACATCGCGAGCGCCAATCTAAAGGAAAACCCAGAGGAGGGGAAGGATGGCCAAGAGTAGTTGGGCGTCACGGAGGAAGGAATTTGCAAGGAGCAAGCCAACCAGTGCGCCCAGCGAAAGAGGACCACCCCCACCGGCTATTGGATCAGCCAGAGGCGATTGTCGGGATCAGCCTAGGAGCGAAGAATACGAACCCGAAGATGAGACGAGATGGTATCTGCCCATCAAGATAGGGGGATTCCGGATCAGAGCATTATTCGATTCGGGAGCGTCCTGTACGGCGATGGGTATCTTGGGACTGGAAATCGCTTTGCACTTGGGCTTGAGGCTAGAGGTGAAAGATGCGGGTTCCTGTCGTTTGCCGGATGGCACAAAGGTATCCGTAACAGGTCACGTTTCATGCCCGTGACGGTAGGTGGACTGACAAGGGTAATCCATGTGGCAATCATCCCAAGGTTAGCGGACGAGTGCTACACTGGAGTCAACTTCATCAAAGCATTTAAAGCCGTGATAGACTCGGAAGATAATGAACTTTTCCTCAAAGACGAAAAGGTCAGGATACGTATGGAGATGGCGAGCATCGAGGGACTAGGTCAACTGGCATCGGTGGGCATCACGGAAGCAACGGATGCCCAACGAGAAGAGATTAGCAAAATGGTTTCCAAGATCTTGCCAAAGCCAGGGA